TGAGTGTGTGGGGTGTGGGGGGGGTTGTATGTGTGTGTGGGGGGTGTGGGGGTTAGTGTGTGGGGGTGTACATGTGTGTGTGTATGTGTGCGTGTGTGTGTTTTTGTTTGTGTGTGTGTGTGTGTTTGTGTTTGGTAGTTTGTGCATGATATGTATGTATGGGTTTGTAGTTATAAATGTGGAGAAGAAAATAAAAGAAATGTAAGCAATTGAGTATGATTATCTATACACAGGTATTGGAATCAGATCTTTGTTGACCTCTTTTCTTGTAAATGTACTCCTAAAATTGTCAGTTATTAACTAACGAAAAAAGGGGAGGGGGGAGGGTGTGTGTGTGTGTGTGTGTGTGTGTGTGTGTGTGTGTGTGTGTGTGTGTGTGTGTGTGTGTGTGCGTGTGCGTGTGCGTGTGTGAGTGTGCTATGGTCGGTGATGAAGAAACTGACCATTGGTTTAAATGTGGGAAACAGGTACCTCAGTAAGGATAGTGCCTGCAGTCGCTACCATTTTTCTTACCGACCATATTCACCCCTTCACTTAACCCCTACCTGTGGATCTAAGTACTTTTTATAAACAAAGGTCTTTAATCGTTCACTCTCCGCTCGCTGATCAAACCTCCAATGCTTTCTCACTTTTTGCTAATGAATTAATATTAAGAATTGCCCAAGAAAAAAGGGGCACTTATGTTCTAACAACCGCTCTCAGCGCACATGTTAGAAGCATCAACGATCTATCTTTTTTAAAAATTAGTTCCATGGTATGCAATGTCCATGCCACTGGCATTTGTGTTTTTATTGTTAGGTATGTTCACCATCGCAAGCAGAAAACAAGGCGCTCATTTGACCTTAGCAGTTGCAAGCGCCGTAAAACCTTATACTATACAACTACTGCAGAAGACAAGGCGCTCATATGACCTTAGCAGTTGCGAGCGCCGTAAAACCTTATACTATACTACTACTGCAGAAGACAAGGCGCTCATATGACCTTAGCAGTTGCGAGCGCCGTAAAACCTTATACTATACTACTACTGCAGAAGACAAGAGTTCAGTTACAGAGCGGGGAAATAATTTTTTTTTTAAATATATAAATCGAGTATATTCGTCTATCTACAGGGACACTGTTCCATTCAGCCTGGGTTGACCTTAACATGTTTAATACTAAAAGGTCCTAAAGAATGCACAGTGTGTCGATGGGGGTATGAAACATTAAACAATTAGTAGAGAATGTATTACAGCAAGTGTCCACACTTTCATAACCTCTGTGCTTTCTGGGCTTCCTGGATATGGATTATAATATGAGCATTTTCGTAATAGTGTGACCCAACGTGCAGAAGCCGCAATTGACATTCTATCACAATGGGATTGAATAGACATTTCCACGAACGACTTTAACTTATATCTTTAGCGTCCCACGGCAAAAAGGCCTACCCACTGCGCCACAGACACCAGTCTTGCCCTATTGTCGTCCTTCCAATAATCCTAAATAGACACGAGACCATTGTGAAATAGGCGCTTGAAGGAGAGATGTGGGGCAGGAGAGGCAGAGGAAGGCAAAGAAAAACAAGGATGGACACCATAAGAACTTGGACTGGCTTGGATATTATGGCAGAATGTGCAACGGCAGCTCACGACCGTGAAGGAAATTCAGGGTCATTACACGTCAACCTCTGATCAGAGATGGCACCTCCAGATTAGATCAGATCATCCATCATCATCATCCAGTGCCAGATCTGCGACAGACATCGGCGATCATCGTTCTTCATTCATTCCTTTGCCCGGATGCTCTTAAAAAAGCTACGTTTCCCTGATCTTTCCACGTTACTCATTTGTTTAGGTTCCCCAAGTAGGTTGCTCTGGGTCTACGCCCGCCCCGTTTGCCTTCAATTTCGTCAGTGAGAGCTAGATGTTCAAGACCTTTATGTCTATTCAGGTGTCCCAAAAACTGTCGTTTTCTGATCAGATCAATAATCCTTAAAAAAGCGAAGCAAAACGGACGCAGAATCCAAACTCGCAAGAAAGAAAAACTCGGACAGAGAAAAAACAGATTTGCTGGAGGATCAAAGATATCGTGTGTCAGTGGACCATGTAGAGCTTAGACTTAGGAGGAAAAGTCGGGCGATTGTTTAATCATTTTTGGGAAGTTTTCTGTCAATGTTACTGTTTAATCAAACATGCTTTTTCTATATTATAGTACTGTACCTTTAAAATTGTTTTAAAAATATTTTACAGCCGTGTTTGATCAAACGTATTATTTATTTCTTATTATGTGGGAGATCGTGCACGAAAACTTGACACAAGAAACGAGAACAGAGGCGAGACTGAGACTGGCTTGGTGATTTCGTAATGTGTTTGACAGTAACACAGTCTGTCATGTTCTGGCCTCAGATGTGTTGTATCTTTGAGAATTCTGTGCATGTGAACTTCGTTTTACATAAAGTATCAAGCACGTAGGAGCAACAGAGACATACATATGCATACATACA